GCAGAAAAACCTGTAAGGTACATGTAAAGACTTCATGTAACCGGATAAGTTTTCTTGACACAGATTATACATTCAGAATCCAAACAGTCTGACTGTGGTGTTTGTCCCATCTGCAATTTGCACTTTAGACCTTGTGAAATAACATTTTGCTCCACTGAACACTTGTGTGTGGCTGAAATGACTATAAACTAAACTGAAGAAAACACATTTTGCAGCACTTTTGCAGTAATGCTAACGCACGCACTCCTTTAATCCTCTTTTGTCTCTTTTTAAAGGCCTCCACTATGAACATTTTAACTTTGATCAGATCCAAGACCACAATGATTAACTCACCTATTCACAAAAATCACCATCTGGAAACATCAAACATAAGGCCGTGTCTTTTGATGGAGCCGACCGTAGCAGCTAATGATCAGCCGTTAACACATCGGCTGCCATCTTTGATAGACAAAGCTTTCTCACCTCCAGAATACCGCTATAGACGAGGGACATTGTGCTCCTAATGTCACAAAGTTGTTGACATCATTTGTCTAGACATTTGTCTAGAGTTTTTCCTTTTCTCTTTTTTGAAAATGTAAAAATATCTAAATGGACACACATAAAAAGCTGGAAGAATGGTAAGAAAAAAAGCATTTAAAAGTTTCAGTTTTCGGTTTAATAAATTATGTCCTTAAAAACAACCCTTTTTTTTGTTAATGAACTTCTTATTTTTGTTTTATATTCAAATTATTGTAATGCTATAATGCAAACCCTCAAACAAACATGTATTTTTTCCCATCATGAGATAATGTTCTTGTGCCATATTTTAATCTTTGAACAATACTTGAGATGGATTCCATGCAAGTGCATCCAACTTCGTTTTGGAGGATTTCATCAAACCTCTGCAATCTTTGGTTACTATTTTGAATAATTCAATATGCAAAAGTGGATTGTGGAATATGTTGCATTTACATTAATATACCATAACCACTGCACAATCATATAAAACATGCAACAGGCCAATTAATGTGCAATTAGCATAAAATGGCAAAAAGAAAGAAAAAAAAAGCAGTTCTCAGTTTGACACAGAGTGTAAAAGTTTACACTCTAAAATGTAGCATAACATTTTTGTCAGGAACATATTTACAATATGAATATCCCAGCATGATAAAATCACATGTTGGTCACTGACTACACACAGCAAGACTGTTTGGGATCAAGTATTTCACTTCAAATATATCTTCATCAATATTCAGTGTGTTGTTTTATAACCGGTGGCTTTCCCAAAACAAGAAAATGCTTCATCAATGTGAATGCTCAAGCATGCAGTGATTACAGCAGATGTTATCAGAGGTGTGTCTGAAAGGGAGGGTGGTTTATTCAGCTCGGACTAATGACTTCCTTTTGTTTTCACTCTGCTTCCTTAGCTTTTATTCCCCCACAATGTCCCCTCACCCTACAGACAAGCTTTTCTGTTCCAATCTGCATTGTTACTGCATTTAAAACGTATTAAGAAATATGAGCTGATCCACAAACATTTATCATTTTGTGAGAGAATTGCAATTGTTGAGTGTTTGATATCGGCCAATAAAAGATTCATACCAAATATCAATCACTTCTTTTGATCTTGGTCTTTTCAGCATTTTTCTCAAATCGGGACATGTTTCAAGACATGGTAAGCAAGATCATTTTATACAATAAACAAAGACATATACGGCACCCAAAAACTCAATGGTACATTATGTGGAAGAGGAAGTGTCACTGTCATAAGTCTGGCACCCAGACCACACTTCACCAAAGATAAGTGCCGAAGTGTGAAGCTCTCCACCTCCAACACACATAAGGTGCTTCACCTCTGAAATTATCATTTTTAAAGCCTCTCCAAAATCCCAGTTTTAAGTTATTCCCTTTTGCATGAAGCATAACAGGAAAACTCACAAACACAGGAAAAGCTGTAGCCGATGTTAATATAAAGAAAAATGTTGCATGTTGCATGTTGCATCAACTAAAAAAAACAAGTTTAGGTAAAACTCTGCAGCAATACTCCACTATTATAGTATCTATTATAGTTTGCTTCCATACAGTGAAAATGCATGGTTACTGCTGGAAAGTTGGAATAAAAAAAAAAAAAATCTAATTAAATAAATACTACTGCTCTAAAGTGTGGGTAAGATTTATTTAATATTTTCATTCTCAGAAAAAAAAGGTATAAAAGCCGTCACTGGTGCAGTACCTTTGGAAAATGTATACTTTTGTATCTTATTTACCCCTGAAGTCTGCATATTAGTACCTCGACGGTTTTTTTCCTTTAGAACCTTTTGAAAAGGTACCGCCACCGTGACAGCTTTTGGACCTTTTTTCTGAGAATGTTTGATAGAAGTCTCATGCTCACCAAGGCTGCATTTATTTCATCAAACAATACAGTAAAAAGTAATATTCTTACAGTTTAAAATAATTTCAATTTTCCTGAGGCCATACAGAGGCCAAGCATTTTGAAGAATGGTTGGATGGATGTTTTGTATTTGGATAGATGTTCAAATTAATTTTCAGCATCATTACTCCATTAAAAAAAAAAATCATTGTAATATGCTGAGAAACATTTCGTTTGAAAACAACAAAAAAAGTGATTTCTCTTTAAGAGGACCAAACAGTTCCTAACTGCAACTGATATTGCACTGACATGACATCCATTTGTTTTGATATTCAAAAACAGTTCAAAGTACAATTTTATAGACAATGACTTTAATCTTTTCTCTGATAAACATGTTTCCAGTTTCTGAATTTCTGTATTTTTACTGGAGCCGTCAGAAAATTTTCTGTTTGGAGAAAATGCAGGCAAATTAACACAGATTAAGAAAACTTCTTCGTAAGTTCGGCAACACGTGCTTTAAAAACAAGGCAACCAAATACAGAAACACTGCAAATAGGGTCGGAATACATTTGTAAATATTCATACCATCAATCTGCAGTTCATTTTGACCTGGTTTTAACCATTTAAGCATTGCAGAATTTATTTTTGTGAACCTTAAACATTTAGTTGCAGTTGTGAAAGTTAGGCAGTTTACATAACTATTTCGTCCCCCCCCCAAAAAAACTCAGGTCATCAAACACCACTAACCAATAAGCTTGCCCCAGCCAGGTTCATCACTTGTAATAGTCTGTGCTGTTTGCAGTGCATTTTTGTATTTGGTTTGATTGTCTTTGCATGGTTTGTCAAAGCGATGAGGTTCTTAATTTCCTGTTTTTTTTTCTATTTGCATGCATTTTCTTCAGTTGCAGCACAGTGAGCTCCTAGTCACTGCCATTTTAGCACCATTAAATATAAATCTATACTGCCATTGAATATTTCATACCAAGCAGCTTTTTTTTTTGTATTAATGCCATCCTGCATGTTGATTTTTATACCAGTTTCATTTGGAAGCCATATTGTAACTTGCACATGAACCCCCCCAAAAAAAGGCTTTAAAACCATTGCTATCAGAAAGCACTTAAACTCCACACCATCTACTGGACCGAAGTTTAACTTCCCAAACTAAACCCACTACGACCCTACGCAGAGGCTGCTCACCTAGGATCTCATTTATAAAATGTTGCGTATAAACAGTCCTAAATCTGTTCGAAGATCATTTCTCGAAAGTGCGATTCAGAGAAAACGAACAGCACGTGCATATACAAAAAAAAAAAAAAAAAAATACAAAAAAAAACTGAAACTGTAGGCCTACAGGAAGTGAGTAAAGAACTCAACATTAGGCTACTTAACGTCAGTTTAATCTCACAAAAACTCCCGTTAATAAAGCTGACTACACTGCACAATTAATCTCTTACATTGCATCTTTGTTGTTTGATGAATTCGGTTTATACACTTGCATGTATACACAGCTTATTGCAGATTCGATGTTCAAATACCTGCAGTACACAGACTTTGCCACAAGGAAAAGTGTGTATGCCTGCTCAGACCCTGACATGGCGGTAAGTACTTGATCAAAGACAGTTTTTATAAATATGCACATTGCCATGGATTTTAGCGTACGCACAGATTTGATCTTGGAGTGGGCGTTCACTAAAATCCACAAAGCACATTTTATAAATGGAGGCCCCTGTACTCTAGCTCGCGAGTTCAGCAAACGAGACTAGTACAACAGGTATTGTTCTCCCTTGGTTTAACGGATTAGTTTAATGTCCCTGGACCACAACACAAGTCTTAAGTCACTGGGGTACATTTGTAGCAATAGCCAAAATAAATTGGTCAAAATGATTGCTCTTTTATGCCAAAAATCATTAGGATAAGTAAAGATCATTTTCCATGAAGATTTTGTAAATTACTGTAAACCAATTTAATTTTTGGTTAGTATTATGCATTGCCAAGAACTTAATTTGGACAACTTTAAGATTGTTGTCCAAATATTGAGAAGCGATTCTCAATATTTAGGTTTTTCCACCCTCAGATTCTAGTTTCTCAAATAACTGCATAAACCAGGGTTGGGGAACGTTGATCCTGGAGGGCCACTCTCCTGCAGTTTAGTTCCAACCCTGAAAAACCCTAAGGGAGGAAAAAAAACACCCCTGGCATAAACCATACATTAATAGAAAGCTTATTCAGCTTTCAGATGTATAAATCGCGATTTCATAAAATTAACCCATGACCCATGGTTTTGTGGTCCAGGGAAGAACTTAAGTTCATAATAAGAACAACTTTAAAGAGGCGATTCTCAATATTTAGGTTTTTCCACCCTCAGATTCTAGTTTCTCAAATAACTGCATAAACCAGGGTTGGGGAACGTTGATCCTGGAGGGCCACTCTCCTGCAGTTTAGTTCCAACCCTGAAAAACCCTAAGGGAGGAAAAAAAAAACACCCCTGGCATAAACCATACATTAATAGAAAGCTTATTCAGCTTTCAGATGTATAAATCTCGATTTCATAAAATTAACCCATGACCCATGGTTTTGTGGTCCAGGGTCACCGAAATGTCTCAATTACACATCAGGCTAAAAGTGACAAATTGCAGGACATGCCAAGATAAAAAGCTTTGTGAACAAGACTTTATTAAGACCGAGAACCAAAATAGACTAAGAGATTGAGAGCACGATTTTTCCTGATGACAGCGGTGTTCTCAAGGATTGGATATTAGTCTCTCTTCGTACTGTCATGGGAATGGGGGAAGAAAAAGAAAACCCAACTGCAATTAGAATCAGTGCAGGCTTAAAAATAAAAACAGTGGGGAACTTCAGTGGCCATACCTTTCTTTCCAGTTTTTAAAGGCATGGGAGATGGACATCGTCTCTCACAGATGCCGTCACTCTCAGCATCACAAAGCACAGCGTCACAGTGTACAAAAATCTGGGGAGAGAACTAGTCAGTGATGCAGCCTAAACACAAATCATGTCTCGGAAGAAATAAACTACCTGATCCTGAAATACGTCATCACTCTGCACAAAAGTAAACATCTTGATTTCAAAGCGTTTCACATGAGACTGGTATGGGACGCTGTTATGAATGACAGGGTGGAAAACTGTCTCGTAACGGTCAGCCAGATTCACACAGCTGTTGAGAAATAAAATATATACACACCTATATAATAATAATCTCAAGTTAAGACTGGTCAGTAACTTAAGAGGTGAGACTTGGGGTCAAAGGGTTAACAAAATGCTATTATACAAGTTAAAGCCATTACCCATCTACAATCAAGTCCCATCTTGGAGTAGAGTTCCGGTCTTCTTTCAGAGTAGCCCAACAGTTCTCTAAGACTAGCTCTATCTGCAGATCAGTGGACTGAAGCAGCACCACCTCAAAGAACAGAGGACTTCTTAAGTACTGTACAACTGGGTAATCTTCCTTTACATAGAAGTTACTATAAGAGCCATCTGGGTGGAGGGGAAGAGAGGGGAAAAAAAAAAAAAAAAAAATTAAAACATTCACAAAGAGCACTTAGTCCAATAGCCCTTTTACACAATATTATGCCTTATTTTGGGTGATCGGATCACAAATTATCAAAGTATAAACCACGTCAACGGCATCAAACCACCGGTTAAGTAGCATTGTGGAAAATCTTGTACTACTGACCTGATACTTCCTGACAACAGCAATTTGGTCACATTATAAAGGATTGGACTAAAAGGGCTTTTAAATGCTCAACTCACCACTTGCTAGAGCTTAGCTCCAACGATAAAGACCCAAAAGTATACAGTGCAGGTGTATAGCATGTACAGAGCCAGAATATTACCACACGTACAACGTAGACACAGCTTGCAGATGCACTTACATTTTTTTTTTTTAGTTTGCATAGTACACATCCAGCACCTGTTTGCGCACACCACCGAATGAAGTACACAGTCATGGCCAAAAGTTTTGCCAGTGACAAATTGTTTCGCAAAGTTTGCTGCGTCAGTATTTGTAGATTTTCCCACATGTTTCTATGGTATACTGAAAAACAATGATAAGCATATCTTCATTTTAAGTATACTTTGAGCTTAATCAAACACCTGAACAAGTTAATCAAGCTCAGTAAGGAGTTTTATCAGGGTTGGAGCCAACCTCTGCAGAAAAGTGGATCTTGGGGTGCTATACCTGCTCAAGATTAATGGAAACATGACTAAAGTGCCATTTAAGTTGTGCCTTTTGAAAAACTAGCATTAGCTACTACGAGTTGATTTGCAGTTGTAACTGAAATGCCAGCTGCTTGAATATTGGACAATGAAACCACAGGAAGTATACTTTGAGCTTAATCAAACACCTGAACAAGTTAATCAAGCTCAGTAAGGAGTTTTATCAGGGTTGGAGCCAACCTCTGCAGAAAAGTGGTTCTTGGGGTGCTATACCTGCTCAAGATTAATGGAAACATGACTAAAGTGCCATTTAAGTTGTGCCTTTTGAAAAACTAGCATTAGCTACTACGAGTTGATTTGCAGTTGTAACTGAAATGCCAGCTGCTTGAATATTGGACAATGAAACCACAGCAATTCAGCATACCCTGAGCAAGCCGCAGTACAACTTGAAGCTCTCCAATACCGGTCTCTGGCAAGGGTTCATTTTCCCGTGGCTTTGTGAAGAAAGCAATCGTCTGGGTATCATTTAGTGTATAAAAGCAAAAAAAAAAAAACCACACACGACACTCACAGTTCTCACAACAACAGTGTCAGAGAAGGCAACTTGAAGTCTAAACGCCTTGGAGCCATTTTGAAAGCGTTGTTCCTGTATGTTGATGCCCTTTGCATTGGCCTCTGCCACAGTAAGGACTCCAGTGGAAAAGGTGATGTTCACCAACTCAGTGTCATAAAGGAAAGGACCCAAGAGTACATGAAACATCCTTTGGTCAGCATCAGTGACTACAAGGGATGGGGGGAAAAAATTATTATAAATAAAATATGCTTTCTTATTCCTTGGACTATCAAAGAACCCTCAGCACTCACGGTCAACAAAGTGGGGTGGTCTAGACATAAAAGGTGTCTTGATGGGGAAGAGGACTTTGTATCTTGTAGTATCCATGCCTCCCTCACTCCACAGTAACTCCAGCATTGGCTCAATGTCGTATGTGATATGGTACTGATTATTTACAGCATGACTCTACAACAGGAGTTAACCATTAGGTTAAAGCACAAGACTTAGTTGCCATATTAAAGCAAGAAACCAAACCTTGTAGTAGCCATCTGGTCCACCAATTGGTATTGTCATTATGATTTGATCTTCTACTACAGCCAAAACATAGCCTCTAGCAGTCATTTGCACAGAATCTATCTGCTTTCCATCTATTCCCATGAACATCCAAAGGAGACTGGTTTCAAGAGAACTCATTAGTGGATTAAACCGGGGGAAGTTCCAGGTGATCATCTCATCCGTAAAAGAAAGCCCACCTGTGAGCAACAGATCAGGGTTCTTCCATCATGGTCTTGGAGATCCACTTACCTGCAGAGTTACGCTCTAACACACACCTGACTGATTTTCAAGTGAACCCAAAGACCTTCAGAAAGTTAATTTCGATAGATTTAATTGGAAGTAAACCCTGTATGGAAAGTGGCTCTCCAGTACAAGGAATGAAGAACCCTGCAAATACTGGGTCAAATGCTATTGGGAATAGAGTCACGTACCAGTTGGACATGCAGCAACAGTATCCAACATGGTTACGGACCACTGTTTCTTGAAGTAGGTGGTCACTCTGATGATCTTCATTGGAACGCCATTCACCTGTTACAGCAGAATCAACATTGGTTCAAGAAAACTACTAAGAGCTGCACCACATTTTCCATACTCACATTTTCCACATAGGTCTCAGGCATGTCATAACCGCTTCGCAGCACCAATCGAGACCTGGTTGTCATTACACCATATCCTGTCCTCAGGGCATCCTCCAACACCATAGCTTTCTGATCAGGTGTGAAAAACACCATCCTCCAGATGTTGTACCTAGAGGTAGCGGCCTGGAATACGGCAGGCAGAGCATGTTTGATCAAGCGGCATGTGCCATGCAAACTCAAAACAAGAGCTGAAACACCATACCTCAGGAACAGTACTGGTCCACTGGTTATCAAACATTTTTGTTCGGGGCACAGGCCGCCTATGCAAAGCTGTAATTTCTTCTGGCAATCGGTTAACAGAAACCTAGGAGAAACCATTGTTAGGACATCTAAAGACTACTACGGCTTGATATTTTATAACACAAGCAAGCCAAGGTTTTACCTCCATATAATTCCGAGTGCAAAGAACTTCACGGGAGGCCCATTGGTCATGGTGACAGGTCTTCGCCACCTCAAAAACATCTTGTTCCGCTTTGACACCATGTACCCGGACGCGCATGTCAACATCAAACACGCTATCATCCTGAATGCAGAAAGAACTACTGAAGTGGAAGATGGTAGGATACAGCAACGCTTTAGGGCCAGAAAGAGCCAGTTACCTCATTCGCTGCAAAACAGTTGAAGAGAGAAGCAAAGACTTTGTAGTTACCCCAAGGATCAGAGTCTATACTAAAACCACATTTGGCAGCCAAGCTTGGAGTTACAGGTTCAATTTGGGAGCCATCTGAAAAGGGAAAAAAAACACGACAAATTTAACAAGTGTAGATTACGACCATCTTTCTTGGCAATATAACTATTTGCAGGCAACTTACTGAGAGCATCAAATTCAACTTGATTTCCAAGAGCTAGAGACTTATCTACAGTTAGCCTCATATAACTTCCCAGACAATCAATCTTCAGGCCTGTTCCTAAAAGAAACAGAATTTAAATAAAACAAAATCAAATGTTAAATAGCAAATATGGCCTACTGCACCTAAATGAGTACACGCATTAACAAAACATACGTTGGTTAAAATTCTGTGCTGGCACCACATTGAACTTCCTCGGTGTAGACAGGACATTGAAATTCTTCTGTGCCAAATTCATAACCACCAACAGCCAAAAAATACTGAAAGAGAATTAAAACAAATGTTAGAAAACAAACAGCAACAAAACATTCTCAACACAGAATCTAACTTACCAAACCCCAAGAAACCATGTCATCCTTGCTCAGAAAAACAGGCCTCTCTGATTTCAGGTGGTCAAGACCTATGGAAACCAACACAATTTAAACCCTTCTAGTGCAAAAGCTCAAAAAAATGAAAGAAAAGGTATAAATCAGCTAACTCTTGTGCACAGGTGATGCTTGTCATCAACTAAAGAGCAGGTGTCATGAGTTAACTATTATGCTGCAGTATTTAGAGCAGTGATGGGCAAACTTGGCCCTTCCAGGCCACTTTCCTGCAGAGATTTGATCCAACCCTGATATGACTCACCTGCCTGTAGCCTTCTAGTAGTCTTGAAGACAATGATTAGCTGGTTCAGGTGTGTTTGATTAGGGTTGGAGCTAAACTCTGAAGGAAAGTGGCCTGGAAGGGCCAAGTTTGCCCACCCCTGATATAGAGGGAGGAACTTCTCACACATTATTGAGTGAAAGCGGAGCTCTGCTAATGTTCATAGCAATACAAATGTATTATTTCTAGGAATGGTATAAGCATTGTTGGTTATTGAAAAGGTTAAATACATTTGGTAGATTTTAAATAGTTATTGCAGTGTACGCGATGAGTAGATTTTCCTTTGAGATATTTTAAACTTGAGAATATAAAATATAATATAATACAATTCTGTTTAAATCTACAAAATAGCACAAAATCTAAAATATAAATTAGGATTTTATGTTTGTATTTAGAGTTAAATATGTTCCAGACATATTCTTGACAGGTCTTGTGAAATTCAGCATAATTTAAAAGTTTACAAAGAGCACAAAATAGGCAAAATGCACATTTTAAAGAATGGGTTTATTAAAAAAACAAACAAACACATAATCATTGCACCCCTTTGTGATTGAGAAATCAACAATTAATCAACGTATTCTGAAATGTACACCATCAGGCATTTTATTTAGAAAGGTTTTCACTCGTATCTTGAGCTATGACCAACAGGATTGGCCCTTTACTCACAAAGTTCAAAAGACTACTAGCAGGTTAATAAATCTTTATCTCTCTATATAGAAACATTACAGTTCACAGACAAGGCTTGAGGCTTATATCTTAAAATATGCGCCATTGTTTACATTTATAAAAACTACTTAAACATAATTTGAACTATGATCTAATCCTGGCATGCTCTGAGAAAAACTACAAAACTTTAATAGGAATAGTTCATCCAAAAATTTTAATTCTCTCATTAATTACTCACCCTCATATCGTTCCAAACCTATAAGACATTCGTTCATCTTCACAACACAAAAATAAGAGAGAAATCCGAGAGCTTTCTGACCCTGCCTAGACAGCAACGGAACTACCACGTTCAAGGTACTAAGGACATCGTTAAAATAGTCCATGTGACATCAGTGGTTTAACCGAAATTTATGAAGCTACGAGAATACTTTTTGTGCGCAAAGAAAACAAAAATAATGGCTTAATTCAACAGTTTCTTCTCTTACGTGTCAGTCTTCGATGCATGTTCACGTACTAGGCATGCATGTGGTGCTGCTGCTGATGCAGGAGCCGGCTTCTGACGTAGCACCTGGATGCGCTGCGGCTCGTTTATAAGCAGAGGAATGCACACGCATGCAATGCATCATGGTACTGTCATGAACTCATGACTGCACGTGCATTAAAGACTGACACAGAAGAGAAGAAATTGTTGAATAAAGTCGTAATTTTAGTTTTCTTCACGCAACAAAAAATATTCTCAATGCCTTATAAAATTACGGTTGAACCACTGATGTCACATGGACTATTTTAACAATATCCTTACTACCTGTCTGGGCCTTGAATGTGTCAGTTGCGTTACTGTCTATGCAGGGTCAGAAAGCTCTCGAAGATGAGCGAAGGTCTTGCAGGTTTGGAACGACATGAGGGTGAGTAATTAATGACATAATTTTAATTTTTGGGAGAACTATCCCTTTAATCTGGTTTAAGATAGTCTTGCTGGTCTCCGAGCCTAACCAGGACCCTAAAACCTCTCAGGTTGTCTTAAGAGTGTTAGTTCACCCAAAAATTCTGTCATTAATTACTCACTCTCATGTCGTTCCAAACCCATATGATCTCCGTTCATCTTCGGAACACAAATTAAGATATTTTTGATGAAATCTGAGAGCTCTCTGACCCTGCATGACAGCAACACAACTGAAATGTTCCCAAACCCAGAAACGTAGTAAGGACATTGGTAAAACAGTCCATGCGACCTTACATCCGTGGCTCAACTTCAATGCAGCATGCGCGCGCTTTCTCCTGAACGTAAACAACACTAGCTGATTACGTTCTGGGTAAAGCGCGCGCATGCATCGTGGTACTCTCCATAATGGTGGACGACGGTAACTTGGGAGAAGAATTGTTTTCTGTGTGCACAAAAAGTATTCTAGTAGCTTTGCAAAACTGAAGTAGAGCCACTGATGTCACATGGACTGTTTTACCGATGTCCTTACTACGTTTCTGGGTCTGGGAACATTTCAGTTGTGTTGCTGTCTATGCAGGGCCAGAGAGCTCTCAGATTTCATCAAAAATATCTTAATTTGTGTTCTGAATATGAATGAGGGTGAGTGATAAATGACAGAATTTTCATTTTTAGGTTAACTAACCCTTTGAGCAGGGGTTTGCTAATTTTTCACAAGCACTGACGTGATGCATAAAGAAACTAGTTAAAAACTTTATCTGCAGCAATGTAAGCCCATGTTTAATGGTTAAACTTTGTACCTACTAGGGCTGTCAAAAAAAAATCGAATTTCGAATATTCGTCAAATAATAATAATAAAAAAATCCACATTCGAATGCAAAAACATTGCATTCGAATTGAAGGTCTGCGTCAGCCGTCAGGCAGCCTTATCAGTGGTGCACGAGATGCGATGACGATGTATGTGTCATTGATTGCATTTGAATGCTTTTGTTAGCCTATCCAGTTGAACCCACTAGATGCTACGTTGTTCGTTCATAAATTGCGGAAAACGAGAGTATCAGTGTGGAGAAGATGTTGTTTACGTCAAAACTGAAACCAAGCCGTGTGAACACATATTTATCACATTTTCTAGAGGGACATCTATCAGCGTTATTGTTTAGAACCAAAGGGTTATGAGGTTCAAGTCTCGTACCGGCAGGGATTGTAGGTGGGGGGAGTGAATGTACAGTGCTCTCTTCCACCTTCAATACCACGACTGAGGTGCCCTTGAGCAAGGCACCGAACCCCCAACTGCTCCCCGGGCGCTGCAGCATAAATGGCTGCCCACTGCTCCGGGTGTGTGTTCACGGTGTGTGTGTGTGTTCACTGCTGTGTGTGTGCACTTTGGATGGGTAAATGCAGAGCACTAATTCCGAGTATGGGTCACCATACTTGGACACATGTCACTTCACTTCACTTCACTTCACTTCACTTCACGGCAGAGGTATAGTCATCATTGGCTTCATAAAAATCCACCCGCAGATACTTCACCTGCCCTCGGTTATTATAGGCAATGGCCAAATCATGAGCACTGCAGTCTCTAGATAAACATAAACATGATTATTAGCGAAAACATGTGAATATGATCTTAATTAATGAATAATGATCTTAAAACAGTTTACATGCAGTCTGTGCTGATGTTCACCACTGTCCTCCTGACTAATTTATTCGACTAAACTTACAGTCGTTAATACCTGGATTTATTTTATTTTATTTTATTTAGTCATTTATCAGACGCTTTTATCCAAAGCGGACAACCGAAGCAATCAATTGTAGTATTAAAACAACTAAAAACAGATCCAAAACAAAAAGCTAAAACTTTATAAATACTACCTATAGGATTGAGAAATATCAGTTGATGTGATCTTGAAAATGTCCCAATTCCTGTAGGTTGTGAATCGATTTGAGATGGGATTTGGGATGAGAGGGATTCTGATGTTCTCCGCCTGCCTGAATTTGTGGGATGTTCAAATGTTTGTATAGCATGTGTGATTTAATAGATGAATATCCTGATCCGGGGAATTTCACAAAGCTTGTCAAGAACATGTTTTCGTGCAGTTCACCTGGCCAGTGATTATACGATTATGTTTAGTCAACGGCTAGTCTGAAGGTCTACAGTTGGTCTGTAATAGTCGAGATATTGATTCAAGCACATCTCACAGTGGTTACAGACAGACAAGTTCTTCACATCTTACTGTTAAACCTATAGTCTGTCTAGCTGAACTACGTGAAGATGATTTCTATAGCGACGCCTGTATCGTTTCAGTACACTGTGAGCTATGAAATCAAGGCGAATATTATGAACAGAGAGACTTTGAGACTGTTGATTCGAAGTATTTCAAGTTTTAATATAATGAATATTACTGCTGGGTTATAAATGTCTTTATTTAACTTTAACTGTATACATGAGTCTACATAAGATTAAACAATTCAAATATGAACATTCTTTCTTTGACATGAACATAAGCAATAAAAAATACACATTTGATAATGATCCTTAGTAAAATTGGTTACAACATGTGGTATAATTTAGTCTATTTAAATGGAGAGATTTCTTTTGACCATTTCTGGGGAGCAAAAGAACATCATTAACCATACATTGCAGCACTTCACGCATGATTTAATCTCTTATTAATATGAATTACTTTTTGAATATGGTTAATATTCTTTCTTTTTTGTGTGTGTGAACGTGGTTTAAGAAACATCATCTGAACATCAGCCACTGTGATCCAGTTTTAAAGACGTTCGTGTGATCAGTGTGGCCCGTGATGAAGTTTCAGTGATGAAACCGAAGCCGTCTTGTTGTCTAGTGCTTCATATCCACTCCAGTACTTGCTGAAAGTTCACAGAACATGTTGACCCTGATGAACAGAAGTAAAAATCTAACTTTTAAATGTTTTATCATGTCAGAGAATCAATGCTTACCAAGCACTGCTCTGTTACATGCGTCCCAGCATGTTTTCCATTTGCTCAACCTTTCTTGTGACAGCAGCAAGTATAACGACTGTTAAGGTTAAAGGGTTTGAAATACACTGTTTCCAGACACAAATATAAAAGGAATAAAGCTCAGCAAATGATGTTAGAATTAAGATTTTTGTGTGGATTATTCTTTTAAGAGAGATGACTTGCATTGCATTCATTATGGGAAATGTAGTTCCACTAAAGGCCCCAATG